GGCCATGCGCCCCCCCGGCGGCGCCGCCGTCCGACTGGGTGTCCACCCACGCGTCCGCCCGCGCGTTCGTCCCCGTGGCCGTCTGTCCACACGCGTGTCCGCTGGTGCCTGCCGTCACCCGCATGTCCACCCCTCTGCGCATCCATCCCTGTCCGTCTGTCCCAACCACCATCCCACTGTCCATCATGGTGTCCACCCGTCCCTGCCTCCACCCATCCCTCCCCGTGTCCATCCCTCCCTGTGTCCATCCCTTCCCATGTCCATCCATCCCCACGTCCATCCATCCCTACGTCCATCCCTGCCTCCATCCATCCCTACATCCATCCGCCCATCCATGTCCATCCATCCCTGTATCCATCCCTGTGTCCACCCATCCCTGTGTCCATCCATGTGTCCGTCCATCCCTCTGTCCATCCATCCACGTCCATCCATCCCTACGTCCATCCCTGCCTCCATCCATCCCTACATCCATCCGCCCATCCATGTCCATCCATCCCTGTATCCATCCCTGTGTCCACCCATCCCTGTGTCCATCCATGTGTCCGTCCATCCCTCTGTCCATCCATCTCTACACCCATCCATCCCTGCATCCATTCCTACATCCGTCCCTACGTCCATCCCTACATCCATCCATGTCCATCCATCCCTACGTCCATCCCTACGTCCATCCCTACTTTCATCCATCCCTGCATCCATCCATCCCCATGTCCATCCCTACATCCATCCCTATGTCCAACCTTCGTCCATCCATCCATGTTCATCCATCCCTGCGTCCATCCATCTCTACGTCCATCCGTACGTCCATCCCTATGTCCATCCATCGCTATGTCCGTCCCTATGTCCATCCATCCCTATGTCCATCCGTCCATACGTCCATCCGTGTCCATCCACGTCTACATTCACCCACATCCATCCATCCCTATGTCCATCCATCCATCCCCATCCATCCCCACATCCATCCATCCCTACGTCCATCCTGTGTCCATCCATCCCTACGTCCATCCATCCATGTCCATCCATCCCTATGTCCATCCATCCCTACGTCCATCCCTATGTCCGTCCATCCATCCCTACGTCCATCCCTATGTCCATCCCTACGTCCATCCATCCATGTCCATCCCTACATCCACCCATGTCTGTCCATCCCTACATCCTTCCCTACATCCATCCCTATGTCCATCCCTACGTCCATCCATCCATGTCCATCCCTACATCCACCCATGTCCATCCATCCCTACGTCCATCCCTATGTCCATCCATCCATATTCATCCATCCCTGCGTCCATCCATCCCTATGTCCATCGCTACATGCATCCATGTCTGTCCATCCCTACATCCTTCCCTACATCCATCCCTATGTCCATCCATCCATGTCCATCCATCCCTATGTCCATCCCATCCCTACATCCATCCCTACGTCCATCCCTACGTCCATCCCTGCGTCTATCCATCCCCACGTCCATCCATGTCCATCCATCCACGTCCATCCCATCACTACATCCATCCGTCCCTACGTCCATCCCTACATCCGTCCATCCCCACGTCCATCTGTGTCCATCCATCCATGTCCATCCATCCATCCATCCATCCATCCCTACATCCATCCCTATGTCCATCCATCCCTATGTCCATCCACGTCCATCTATCCACGTCCATCCATCCCTACATCCATCGATGTCCATCCATCCATGTCCATCCATCCCTACATCCATCCATCCCTACGTCCATCCCTATGTCCATCATTCATGTCCATCCCTCCCTACATCCCCCCCTACGTCCATCCATCCCTATGTCCATCCACGTCCATCCCTACATCCATCCATCCATGTCCATCCGTGTCCATTCATCCATGTCCATCCATCCATGTCCATCCATCCCTACGTCCATC